GCGGGGCCCCGGAAGCCATGGCCACTGAGCCTGCGCGTCCGGAGCCTGTGCTCCGCAAATGGGAGAGGCCACGACACTGAGAGGCCCGCATAACGCAAGGAAAAAAAAAAAAAAAAAAAACCCCTAAAGAACAATATAAAGAAAGTTAACATATTTACCATGGGTCTTCCTGTCCATGGTTATGGTATGTCCCTCCATTTTATTTACCTCTTATTTAATAGCTCTGAACACGAGTTTCATTTTCATGGGGGTCTTACACATATTTTTCTTCAATTTGTTCTTATCTACTTCATATTTTTACGGTAGCCAAAATGGAATTATTTTTAAAATTTCATTTTCCAATTGTTTGCAAGTACTTAAATAAAATTTACTTTTATGCTAATATGGTATTAAGCAATATTACTAAACTCTCTTTTTATTCTGATGTTTACCTATAGGTTCTTTTGGATTTTTTACATATATAATCATATCATTTATGAATAATGACAGTTCTTTTCTTCTTAATACACGTCTTCTATTTCTTTTCCTTATCATATTGCTTAGTACTTCCAATGCAGATTGTTTGTTAGTTTTTGGGTGGCTGCATTGGGTCTTCGTTGCTGCACGCAGGCTTGCTCTAGTTTCAGCAAGTGGGGGCTACTCTTCGTTGCAGTACGCAGGCTTCTCATTGCGGTGGCTTCTCTTATTGTGGCGCACAGGCTTTAGGCATGTGGGCTTCAGTAGTTGCAGCACACGGGATCAGTAGTTGTGGCTTGTGGGCTCTAGAGCACAGGCTCAGTAGTTGTGGCACATGGACTTAGTTGCTCCACGGTATGTGGGATCTTCCTGGACCAGGGCTTGAACCCGTGTCCCCTGCATTGGCAGGCAGATTCTTAACCACTGCACCACCAGGGAAGTCCCTCCAATGCAGTTTTGATTAGAAGTCCTAATTATTATTTCTGATGTCAAACAGAAAACTTTCAACATTCACCATCAAGGATGACATTAACTCAAAGTTTCTTATAGATACACTTAATCAGATTCATGAAGATACTTCTGTTCCCAGTGTATGAAAGTTTTTTTGTGAATGTGTGTTGGATTTTACCATATACCTTTTTTCTAAATCTACTGAGATGATCATAAAATATTTTTCTTTTCTTCTGCTAAAATGGTGAATTATATGAATTGGTGTTTAAATGCTAAAACAAGCTTGCATTCCTGGAATGCAGCCCAACCTGGTCACGATATATTATCTTTTTAGCAGATTGCTAAATTCTGTTTGCTCATGATTTCTTTGGGATTTTTTCATCATTTGTGTTCATAAATGAGATGAGCGTGTAATTTTACTTTCTCAGAGTGTTCTTGTTGGTTTTAGATATCAGTGTTATACTAGACTCACAAAATGATTAAAGGAGTGGTTCCTCTGATGTGTCAAACTTGAACATGTCCAAAGCTGAACCACTGATCTTCCAGCCAACACATGCTGTGCTCCTGAGTAAGCGTAATTCCATCCTTCCTGCTACTCAAACCAAAAATGTTGGTGTTGTCATTTTCTCTGTTATTCCATATCCAATCCATCAGAAAATCCTGTTGGTGCCACCTTCAAAATATGTCTATAATGACCACTTTGTACCACTCCCAGTGTTCCACTCTGGCCCAAGTCATAGCCCTCTCACTCCTGGATTATTGCTGTAATTCCCCTAGCCCCCTAGAGCAGGGGTTGGCAAATTTTTTCTGTAAAAGGCCCAATAATAAGTATTTTCGACTTTACAGGCCACACGGTTTCTGCTGCAACTCTACAATTCTGCTGCAGTGCAGAAGCAGCCAGAGACAATACATAATAAATGGGCACGGCCCAATTCTGCTGTAGTTTGCCAACTCCTCCCTCTAGGGTAGGCTATTCGTAACAGTGATGACAGTAATCCTTTTTTTTCCCTATAAATTTATTTATTTTATTTATTTATTTTTGGCTGCGTTATGTCTTCATTGCTGTGCACGGGCTCTCTCTAGTTGCGGTAAGCGGGGGCTACTCTTCGTTGCAGTTCATGGGCTTCTCGTTGTGGTGGCTTCTCTTGTTGTGGAGCACGGGCTCTAGGCGTGCGGGTTTCAGTAGTTGTGACACGCAGGCTCAGTAGTTGTGGCACATGGGCTTAGTTGCTCCGTGGCATGTGGGAGCTCCAGACCAGGGCTCAAACCCGTGTCCCCTGCATTGGCAGGCGGATTCTTAACCACTGCTCCACCAGGGAAGCCAGTAATCCTTTTAAAATGTAAATCAGATCATGTCACTCATCCACTGAAAACTCTCCAGTGACTTCCCACCTCACTCAGAGTTAAAGACAGAATCCTTACAATGTCCTACAAGGCTCTGATCTAGCTCTATTACCTCTTTTACTTTAATCTCTCTCTCTCCCTCCCTCTCCCCCGCCCTGCCCCCCACCTCCCTCTGAGCTCCTTTGCCATTCCTAGAACAGGCTTGCCCCACCTCAGGGTATTTGCACTGCTGTTACTCCTGTCATAATGGCTCTCCTTCCAGCTATCCACCTGGCTAACTCAACCCTTTTAAGTCTTTGATCAGATGTCACTTCTTAACAGGGCCTTTTTTGGACATCCTATTTGAATGTCAATCTTCCATCCCCTCCCGTGACACCTTCCATTGTCTTTACTCAGCCCTATATTTTCCATAGCACTAATCACCTTCTGACACACTCTATAACTAATTTTTAAAATATGTTGATTGTCTATATTTTCCCCTACTAGAAGTAAGCTCAGTGAAGTCAGGGCTTTAGTCTATTTTGTTTGCTGCTCTATCCCGAACGACTAGAACATTATGTCTTAGAGTAGGCGCTCAGTAAACATTTATTAGATGTACGATGGATGGATGGATGGATGAATCGAAGAAATGCCATAGACTAGAATTTCCTGGAGTGTACACCTTGGAACACTAGTTATACAAAGCAGAATAATACTAATAGTTTTGTCCAGGTGACAAAATTCTGCTCACTATTGAACTCCTCAGTAGAATTAAGTGTCTCACCAAGTCATGGGCAGTATTTCACAGGAAGTATTCGAGCACAGCCTAGAAGCTGATTAAATTCCAAAAATGTGCAAGTTATTCTTACAGTGGGTTGGAGACTGGGTGCTATGTTCCCTACAGTGCCCCAAACACAGGCCACCCTAAGACTCTGTGATATGTCCCCAGCTGTTTATTAAAACGATAATATCATTTATTGAATTTGTGACAAGCACTTGTGTATTGCTAAAACAGGTAATTTTCAATAGCGTATGCCAATGTCATGTGAAGCCAGTATTATTTTCCAGTCTTGAAATTTTCTCCTTGGTGAAAAACTGGAGATCCTAGTAGAAATTATTGGCCAAAGAGCCAGAATGTTTGTGCATCATGAAATATTTGTATCTTGGCTAAAAAAAAAAAAAAAAAAAGAGTCACTCTTCAAAGAAGAGGGAGCAGTTAAATCCTAACACAAATTCCTAGGTGAGATACTGCAGCTCATGGGACCTTTTACATGAAATCTTTTTATTTTTTACTAATGTTGTTTATGTTTCCCATTTTTGCCTTGGATTTTTGTTCTTTGAAAGAATACAAAAGATGTCATTGCCTTTTTTTCCTTTTTTTTTTTAAACAAATGTTACTTGTTAGGGACTAAGTATGCGTACCTAGTTACTTGACCATGTGAGTGAATGTCCTTAAGCATAGTGATTACTCTGCTACTTCCAGATATTGTGCTTAGGGGTTCAAAAGAGACATAAGCAAATATAGAGAGAGAGTCCTACACATTTTTATAAAATTACACTCCTCAGATTCCACACTGTGGAGAAGGGAGTAGTAAGGTAAAAGTGAGGGCAGGAAATCTTGGCTTTTGCATTTGCACGCACACTCTTCAGAATATATTGACATGCCATTAATAGTACAAATGTAGTGCTCTGAAGTTAAAGTATGTCTCTTTCCAAATTAATAAATCTTTACCCATTAACTAAAATTCTTACAGGAAAAAAAATACTGTATACGATCAGTATGAGGATTTTGCTTTTCTTCTTAGGCTATTTTCATTTGTTTCTTCTGCATCCTTTTAATGGAATGTGTAGGTCTCTTGAAAGGTAAGGTTCAAGTTTACAAGTCTGGCCTGTACTCAGTAACAAAAAGATTTGAGATGCAGGATTTTGCTTCTTGCTCAGAAAAACAAAAATCCATACTTCACACTTAACCAAAATCATTCTCCATTCATACCCAAGGAATCAGAGATATTATGCAGTTTAACATACTAACTTCTCAACTTGTCATAAGCTTTTACCCCCTTTCTAATTCTATGAAAGTAGTGATGATTTTCAGCTTTTCTCAATTCTTCCTTTTGTAATGCTTGTGATGATTTCTGAATTGCTTCCAAATCAGTAGCCAGAAATCTGTCATTGATATTGACATGCACCCTACAAAGCCATCCACCTACCGGAGACTTCATGATTAAACCATTTCTGCACTTGCCTTTCATTCCAACCGTGTCCCGGTCTTTGGAGGCCACCTGACCATTAGATTGGGCTAGAGGAGCTCAGGGCTCCAAATGCTTTCTCGTCATTTGCATGCATGATCTTTGGGAACCAAGCCTTTTCCCTAAATGCCAGTCTTGACGAAAATGTTTTCTCTTTTTTCCAGTGATGCAGAAGACCACAAGCCTTTAAAGAAAGGCAGTCGAACACCTTCAGACAGGACTGTGAAAAAGGAAGATAGCGATGACAGCCTAGTTGACTATGGAGAGGGGGTGAATGGCCAGTTCAATGAGGACGGCTCCTTTATTGGACAGTACAGTGGTAAGAAAGAGAAAGAACCAGCCGAAGGAAACGAAAGCTCAGAGGCACCGTCTCCCGTCAACGCCATGAATTCCTTTGTTTAATCTGTGAGCTCTTTGCCACTTTTCTCGAATGTTTATCTTAAGTACTTGTCGGTCCGCCTTCTCATACTCTGAACATTGAGGCAGAAAGTCTGTGTTCTGCTGTGTGTTCATATGATGAGAACCATCAAAGCAAGAACCTAACTCAGTCAAATGGTGTCTTAATGTGAACTGCAGTGCAAAGTGCATACTTTTTCATTCAACATAGGTTATCTTGATTTCCTGAGAACTGATAAAAAATAACACAGTGTCATCAACAGATCATGTTCTTCCCTCTTCGGGATACAGTTCACTAGGATGCATGAAAAATGCTACACCTTTAAAGAATATACCTGTGTATGTTATTCAAACATGGGTTGGTACTTTGTTTATACTCTCCTCTGCTGAACACCTAAATATGAATTCCCTTTTCATTGTCAAGAGTGTTCCTGTAGTATTCTCTAGAACTTCAGTGTCTTTGTGGACATTGTCGTGAAATTGGTGACTCTATGTCTAGCTGTCGTTAGTCTTTTGGGGAGACTGTTAGGCACAGTGTGTACAGTCTCTACTTGCTAAATGCGTTAATTATGACAGGTGCATTTGCTCATGCTTATGAGACTCTCTTACCTGCTCTTTGATCCTATTACTCCACAGACTTCTTAATCGTCCAGGTATTACAGCGGCACAGTGTTCTACCTTTTACATCCTCTCTCCTTTCAGTGCTTTTTAGGCGTAATCAATGCGTATTGCAACGCATCTTGGCATTTGTGGCAGACCGAGAGAATACCAAACAGATCACTCCAATTCAGTGTCAAAAATTATTCCAGAAAGCACAGGGCAAGACACATGCAGTGCCTTCAGACGATAAGCATTCCACAACGTACAGCCTTCTGTATCATTCGGTACAGTCGACTCGGAGTCCTAGATCACTCTCATTGTCTAAAAGTAACTTTGAAAAAGCATAGTTCATGAAAACTGCAATGCTGAAAAAAAAAAAAAGGAACTGTGAAAATAAAATTAGGAAGATAGTTTATTTTAAGGGGCATGATTTCCCCCATAGGTATAAAAAGAAAAGCTTTATCACCAACTGGAGCAAGTGATGATTTTGTGGTCTTATGGGTCCTATTAATACAAGTCACATTCAGTAAGAAAGAAGTCAACTTGGTAGGTAGAAAATTTTTTAAAAAAACAAGTTATTCCAAAACTAACAGGATACAACAGCACACCAACAGGAATATATTTTCCTCTAAGTCTTTATGTATGTGGCAGCTTTTGAAACTCTGCAGCATTAAACAATGTGTATACAAATTGCATGGATGCCTTGCAGAATCTAAGAAATCTGACAAGCGCTAACAAGGCCAACAGTCAAAGGGATTACATCTCCAGTTTCAAATAGAAGCATATATATTCTATCATATTTGCTGAACCCCTAAATATGAATTCCCTTTTCATTGTCAAGAGTGTTCCTGTAGTATTCTCTAGAACTTCAGTGTCTTTGTGGACATTGTCGTGAAATTGGTGACTCTATGTCTAGCTGTCGTTAGTCTTTTGGGGAGACTGTTAGGCACAGTGTGTACAGTCTCTACTTGCTAAATGCGTTAATTATGACAGGTGCATTTGCTCATGCTTATGAGACTCTCTTACCTGCTCTTTGATCCTATTACTCCACAGACTTCTTAATCGTCCAGGTATTACAGCGGCACAGTGTTCTACCTTTTACATCCTCTCTCCTTTCAGTGCTTTTTAGGCGTAATCAATGCGTATTGCAACGCATCTTGGCATTTGTGGCAGACCGAGAGAATACCAAACAGATCACTCCAATTCAGTGTCAAAAATTATTCCAGAAAGCACAGGGCAAGACACATGCAGTGCCTTCAGACGATAAGCATTCCACAACGTACAGCCTTCTGTATCATTCGGTACAGTCGACTCGGAGTCCTAGATCACTCTCATTGTCTAAAAGTAACTTTGAAAAAGCATAGTTCATGAAAACTGCAATGCTGAAAAAAAAAAAAAGGAACTGTGAAAATAAAATTAGGAAGATAGTTTATTTTAAGGGGCATGATTTCCCCCATAGGTATAAAAAGAAAAGCTTTATCACCAACTGGAGCAAGTGATGATTTTGTGGTCTTATGGGTCCTATTAATACAAGTCACATTCAGTAAGAAAGAAGTCAACTTGGTAGGTAGAAAATTTTTTAAAAAAACAAGTTATTCCAAAACTAACAGGATACAACAGCACACCAACAGGAATATATTTTCCTCTAAGTCTTTATGTATGTGGCAGCTTTTGAAACTCTGCAGCATTAAACAATGTGTATACAAATTGCATGGATGCCTTGCAGAATCTAAGAAATCTGACAAGCGCTAACAAGGCCAACAGTCAAAGGGATTACATCTCCAGTTTCAAATAGAAGCATATATATTCTATCATATTCATAAATAATATCTATCAAATGGTTTCCTTCCAAATATGAACATCTATAACAACCTATGGGTGAAGGAATGCTCAGTTTCATTTGCCAATAAATTGGTTTCTCATAACTTGCATCAAGTTTAATTTTAAGTAAAGCTTTTTATATGTAGATATTTTGTTGAATCTGTAAATACACTTAAAGTGTAGATGCTGTATGCTTATAGGTGTTACGTACAAATAAACAGGCCAACAATGTTTATGTTGTACTGTATAAGATGTTAGCTAATTAATACAGTGCATGGGATTGGAAAGCATTTAATTAAATGCCTTTTGGGTTTTTATTTTCCCTTTTTGCCGTGAAACTGAAAGAGTGAACTATTTTCCATATTGACAGCACGTTTCTGGAAGAAATCTTCAGAGCTTTGCCTAAGCACAGTTTGAAGTAATCCCAGGTAAAGATGGCCCTACCTAGTTTCATATCTCCAACATGCACTTTTCACAGATCAGCCTTTCTAGTGGAAATCCAGAAAGACAAAACAGGCTGCCTTGGCATCCGAGAGCACAAAGATAAGTTACTTAAAATTTGCCAGTGTGTGCAGGGACGAGAAAAGTACAGTGTTTCCTCTTCCATAATGGTAGATGCTAAATGTGTGCATGAAGGGGTCATTTCTGTACTTGTGCAACAGAGTTTGTATTAAAAATTAAATGTGGTTTTAAAAGTCCCACTCTCTTTTGTAATATATTATGTTCCTAGTGGAGTGTGAATGTCCAAGTAATGGTGTATGTAACGGTACAGGCATATGTGACTGGATCTCCGTCAAAAGGGTGACTATTAGGGCTTGCCTGGTGGCGCAGTGGTTGAGCGTCCGCCTGCCGATGCCGGGGACGTGGGTTCGTGCCCCGGTCCGGGAGGATCCCACATGCCGCGGAGCAGCTGGGCCCGTGAGCCGTGGCCACTGAGCCTATGCGTCCGGAGCCTGTGCTCCGCGACGGGAGAGGCCACAACAGTGAGAGGCCCGCGTACCGCAAAAAAAAAAAAAAAAAAGTGACTATTAAACAGTCGTGATCTCTTTGTGATTTTTAACTTCCTCAAACCTAGATTTCCTAATGTTTTATTTTATTTTATTTTTCTATTGGCCATGCTGCGCGGCTTGCAGAATCTTAGTTCCCCGATCAGGGATCGAACCCGGGCCCCTGGCAGTGGAAGTGCAGAGTCCTAACCACTGGACAGCCAGGGAAGTCCCTCCTAATGTTTTAAAATAGAGCAAATTTTGCTTTTTGCTTTTAAAAGGCAGAGGAAATTAAATGCGAAACTGGACGCAATATAAAAGAGAGCTAATAGGGCTTCCCTGGTGGTGCAGTGGTTGAGAGTCCGCCTGCCGGTGCGGGGGATACGGGTTCGTGCCCCGGTCCGGGAGGATCCCACGTGCCGCGGAGCGGCTGGGCCCGTGAGCCATGGCCGCTGAGCCTGCGCGTCCGGAGCCTGTGCTCTGCAACGGGAGAGGCCAAAAAAAAAAAAAAAAAAGAGAAGAGAGCTAATAAAAGAAGGGCATATCAAACATTGTCATGCAAAAGCGAAGTAGATACCACCAGCCTTTAGAGAAACGGTGTAAGTCAGGTGCTCCTTCCTTTCCTGAAGCCTCACCTCTGCAGGCCTGTTCCCTGGTGCCTTTGGTCACCCTCTCTTCTGCCCTCCTGGACCTCCACTGTCCCCGGCCACGGCAACTGGATTCCTTAACCTCTCCTGCTTGATGACACTGTTCGGGCATTGACGAGTATCACTCCCAGGTGTGTCATCCACCCGCTTCTCAACAGCCCAATTCTTCTCGCGTCTCACACCTGTCCAACTCTGCAAACAGCCAAGACCTGGCTTGTTCCTCTGTTCCTCCACCTGCCCTTGGTCCCCTGGTCCCAGCTTTCCATCCACAAGACCTTCTGCTGGCACAGAGCTCCCTCTCGCTATACAGTTACTTGGATAACAACATGATATATACATCAACGTGAGATGCTAATAGACCCTATGCAGACCTTGTTATTAGTCTTTTTACCGTGGAGATCATTCACTTCTGACAGCAAGTCAGGGTCTCCAGTCTACACCGTGGGCCAGATTCACAATCTACATCCGCAGGCCACGTCATCAGTCACAGCTCTGTTTAGCGACGGGGGCTGGCCCGTTGTAAAGCCTGACTACAAAAAGCATTGGTCTGTTGATGCCTTCTTATTCAGATGATTTATAACGGCCCTGGTTTCCTTTTTATTTTTTTTTCCGTAAATTTCAAATTTTATTGAGGACCTACGATGTGAAAATTCTCCAAAAAAATACAATTGATATTTCTGTATTTTAAAGCATAATGATTAATTTTACTTTCATAATTTAAGTAATTTTAGCAAACTCTTATTCAGTTCCTTAAGATCTGTATTTATAAAGTTGACTTTGCAGGGTGAAGAAGAAATTAGACAATTGATATAACCCAGTGTAACCTCGTTTACTTTTAGTGTCTGATAAAATAATTGGAAGTAACTCGTGGAGGCAAAGGAAAGAAATGCAAAGAACTGAGAAGTCTCGCCTGAACTGAGCGAATCTCTCCTGCTCATGAGATTTTTCTACA